TATATACAAAAATCTGATTGAAAGTACTTATAACGAGAATAAGTCTGAACCTTTCTGACAAGATTACTTTTTTAAGTTTTGTACATGTGTTTATCAACATAGCTTACAGATAGATATTGCTTTCGAAATTCATTATAGTACAGTCCCTGAGGACCTTTTGTGTGCAAAAAATGGTAATCAAATGGTGATCAATTGTGCCAAGCTATTTAAACAAAATTTCATTGGTTTAAAAGTTATGGAGGGGACACGAAATGTAGATTTTTATACATTTACCTTGACCTTTGGTGTAGCAACCCAATGTTTGCGTTCTGCACATGTTCTTATACTGGTAATCAATTGTGCCAAGATATTTTTTTTAAATTTCAGCGGTTAAAATGTTGGAGCGGACACGAAATGTAGACTTTTTTACATTTGACCTGAAAGTGTGACCTTGACCTTTTGTGTAGCAATTATTGCGCACTGCACGTCGTGTCATAATGGTGATCCGTTGTGCCAAGTTATTTCAAAACTTTACAGCGTTAAAAAAGTTATGGAGCGGACACGAAAGTGTTATGGACGGACGGACTGACAGACGGAGTCCATTCCTATAATCCCCTTTCCGCTACGCAGAAGGTGATAACTGATTAACAATGTTGGTTTAGTCCCATCTGAAAAAGCCATGCCTATAAAAGTTTAAGATCTTTTTATTTATTTCTGGGAATATTTGAAAACATTACGCATTGTCAGTTCTATTTTTAACTTCTGTGACTAAGATATACAATAATCCAATTTGTGCAAAAAACAACAACAAAACAAAATTTCTGTCAAATTTTATCAAATATAGCCTATTTTTACAACACTTTAAAAGGTTTTGTGGCGACTTTCCTGTTTTACTGAGGAAGACCTTAATATGTTTCCCTCCGTGCATTATTTCATAATATTGACACCTTCTGATCATCTTTTAAGGCAAATTAGAATTACAAAGTCTATAAGAAAGTGAAAGTTGGCTTATTCAAATAAAGAAAACAGTAAAATTGTTTGTAAAATAAAGAAATCAAAGTCATATGTTCATCCTGATTCCAAATTCAAATACGTCCTGAACTTAACACACTAGTGTTCATGTGCATTACATGCCACCGGACAATTTGAGAAATGCTGTTTTTCCACATCTCCAATTACATTGAAACTATGGTTTTAAGACTGCACTTATATAATGACTTATTTAAATCAGAAAGCTTGGAATTTTGGATACGTTCAGCCGCGGGTTATTTCACATGATTTATTGATATTTATTGATGATGAGAAAATAACGAAACTGTAACAGTTGATATGATTACCAATGTCTTTGAGATTTTATTTGAATGTTACCTGTATATCAGTTATAGCTTATTACTACGTGACGACAATTTACATACTTTTTTGTGTGAGTGGAACAAAAATCGCTCCCAAAGTTTTACAAACACATATTTTTCTTATAACTGGTAAAAAACGGTCGAAAACAAAAGCAAAATTTATCATTACACCAAATTTATTAAGTGCCTTTCTGATATATATAACATGTTCAAATGCGTTAAAATCAACAAATTTATATCATAGTTATAAACATTAAAAAAGAATACTCGACATTAAATGAAATTTCAACAATTATACAAATCTAGATATGACTATGTAAAACTATTTGCATATAAACATACTCTTAAATTCTTTTCAACGTGATTTATAATAATATTATGAAACAGACCGCCATCTTCTTAAATAGTCACATATTTCTAAAGAACGAAGTGAGACTGCGGTAACAAAACTCATATTGTTTACATATCGGAATTACTTATATTGTATAATTAATTTGAGACTTTTAAGTTTTAGTTTTGTGTACATTCTTCTGTAGCTTGTTCTTAATGTATACTAGAGTTTTCCCTACCGTAGCCATAATTTTGAAAATAAATCTTATAAGGACATTTTTTCATAGAAATAAGTTTGAGATAAATGAAATTGGTCTTCGTTTAAACATTTCAATAGGGGTTGATAGTGAACTTTCAAATATTTTGGCAAATAAGCTGCTGATTAATTACTTCAAGTTTCAATCTCAGAAGTGTACTTAAATATATTTACAACATAAGTATGATATATACATGCGTTATATGAACAAGTAATTCAAGGACTGGACCGATGAAAAGAAAGAAAAATACTGATTTGAAAACCCAATGTAAAACTATTTCAAATTAATTCTAGAGTTAGAGCTCAGAAAAGTTTCTGTTAAACAGATTGAGCCCTACGAATGACAACTTGAGTCTCGGGATGCACACTATCCCCTCAAGCAGATGAGGCTGTTTGAGTCTCATCATTTTTATGATGACACTTTTTTTATATAGATTTTCCCTTAGATAATGTATGGAGATAAATATATATTTGTGGATAATGTCGTCCAAGGAAACACTGAAAGATATTGCATATGCTGCAAGTTTCCTATCTACTATGTAATAAAAATATATTACAAAGAAATAACCTTATCAAATCTTAAAGGGACTCCATTGAGGTTTAAAAGCTTAAAACCATAACATTTGAATCTCTTATATAAATAAGCTGGATCACTTTAAACAGAAATATATGCAAAGATGGTTAAGAAATATACATGTTCTTTGAAATAAATTGAAAATCGTATGTTTATGCTTTTCTTGGCCCGATTTGAGTGAAAAGTGTTAAAACGCTTTTCATTTTAGGTCTTTTTTCACAATTTGAATAATTATTCTGGAAAAAAGTTCGCTTATGATCTGAAATTTTGCACAAAATTAGGGTCTAAACCTACATCAAATGGAAATTTTATCTAGAACAATATTTTCAGTCCCATCATGTCAAAAATACGCAGTGGAGTCCCTTTAATAATGGTAATAACATTGTATAGGTGAAGATCACTTGATTTTTTCCAAGGATAAAATGGTCTTATTTAAAAGTAGCTAAATCAAATTGTTTATATTTAACTTTTACAGGACCTCCAACATACGTTATGCTATTATGACGTAGGTATTGATAGACTTTGCTTAAAATTGCACTATAATCTAATTTAATTATTTAACAAAATTGTTTAATATTAGCTTTAGCTGAAAAGTAATTACTCTGATGTGTATAACTGTACTATTTTTAAAGCTTAAGTTTAATAATGATTAACTTTTTGTAGTGTCTGTTGTAATATAAGAGTTCATGCATAACATTATTTTACAGTAAATCACCTATTTTGTTGACCACTAAGAAATTTGTAGCAAGTTTAAATGTACATAAACACTGGGTACTTCGTCAGGTCACATGACTCCCTTTGTCGATACAATGTATATACTTAGTTGTAAGTCTTGCATCAGTAGCAATCACATTCTTTACTTTTTCAACCATTTGTTGCGAAGTTGCAATTTTCGGATGGCGTGCATGAGGTGTATCGTTCTGAATCCACACCACTTTACCACCGTGCAACAGATGAATAAAAAAGTTCATTGTTATCATAAACACATCATAATTCATTGAATATGTATTTCGCATGTATACCAGGATATAGGAACATATTTTGTCAGTGAAAAGAGACCTTTCCAAAACCATTTTAGCTTTCGTATACACGAGAAGATAGCGTTAATCGAGCTATTGTCAAGGCTAGAATGAACAAATTTGCACATGTATTGTATCAATTGACAACTTACAAAACCATCTGCATGGTTCGTGCAAAACCGAGATATTGGCTAGTTGCATTCATATTTGATCACCCCTCGTATATTTATAGAATAAAAAAGCTATCATAAGAAAGGTGAATCGCTTCATTGTTTACGTATTAGTATATCAGTACCTTAAATTCAATACAATTGTCGTCAGATTAGCGAGAATTTGGAACAAGCTAAAAAAGCGAGATATACAAGACCCTGTTTATCTTCTAAATTACGCTATTCCGTAGAATGGTCTCTTTCTATGAAAACCAGCACAGTAATATTGTATGGTTGTGTTATGATATTTAAGCAATTGACACTCATTAAGATTTCTTTTATAATGGATGAATTAGACTCAATGGGAATATTGTTTTACATAAAATGTTATATATAATTTGATTTAAGGTTTACTTAATTAATAAGTAAGTGTAAAAATGAATGAGTAAATATACATGCATGACCTTTGAAATTTGATGATGTGTTGACATGTTGATATTTAGGCAATACTTTATCACAAGCGGCGTTTTGAAGCCGCGACCAGGATGGCGATAACAAAGTATCTATAGGTTTTCACTGATCATAAAGACGATTAGGGTCATTAATCAACTTGATGAATAAGTCAGTGTCGTGCCGAGTGAGTATATTTGTCATTTGTTTTAAATGTATAACTTTCTGGCCAAATCATACATTGCAAAAATGTTTAATAGCTTAAGTAGGTAATCGTATTATGTATCTGCAGATAAGAAAAGTCAAAGAATATTAAAATATATATTATGTCTTTCGATGACGAAACGCAACAAGTTAAATAATGGATAAAAATGTCAAAGAGAATGGCATATACACAGTGTTAATAGGGGAACTGGTCTCGTAAGAAGCTTTTCAATCAATCAGATACATTTTGTTTGTTGAAATCAATTTAACAAACTTGAAAAAAAAACTGTAACGTATCGCATACACTAAATGTTTTATTATAACATTTGAGTGATTTTGATTACAACGATATTTCTTGGCCTTCTATTTTTATTCGGATTTTTTTATTATTTATTCGTAACATTAATTAATAAAGTAAAGAAGTTATCGTGTACCGAATAAATAAGTTTATAATTTTCATATGGACTGTAATATATGTCAAATTCGTGACTAACTTCTTAACAATAAGGAAAATGACATACAAAAGAAATATTTATGTCGTTAATCATTTTTTTAAACACTTTCTTATTATTTTAAATTACTTATTTGATGTAAGTAAGAAAATATATGAAATACGTAAATTACAAAAGGATTTAGAAAATATATTTAAAACTTAGATATTTCCACTTTTATTTTATTTTATTCTTATATAATGATAACTTCGTGTTTTAGTACAAGCTTGTATTCTAAAGTTACATAAAAATGGTTCTGTTTATCGTATTAATCATGAAATTAACAAGAACAATTTTGCAAACAATAATTGCATATTTTTCATAGATTTCCCTTTTTCTTCGTTTGATTCAAAGTTGGTACGCGACTCCTTGAGAATTAAAATACAAGACTAATTCTAGTTTGCCAATCAGTTCTTTTAGAGAAATATCTGTGGGTATTTTTATTGCTTTGGGGGATGTAATATAATAACTGGGAAAACTGTATTGCCTGATTTGAATTGTATTTGTATACTTTAGTTTGGAACAATATTGAGAAGTGGGTGAATATTTTTTATGAAACTAACCAGAACTTATATTAAAAGGAATGGATAGATTAAAGAGTGGTTTGATAAGAATTTATAGATAGTAACATTCTGAAGACATTTCCATATAGCTAATTAACAACACTATTTGATTAGTTCACGATTTTTAACAGTAATTAAATATATTCCGTTCTGTACAAAACATTTTTTCCATTTTTTAAAGTCCCATTTTAAGCTGTCAATTTTTTTTAAATAGGAACAAAACACGTTTGTGACGATATGACCATATTCCATCTTCCCTGCTTTACATCCAAAGCCAGCAATCTGTTAATATATCAAAACAACAAGTTCATGTTAAAACATATTGGCTATTCTGCATTATTTGAGAGTCTGCATTTCTATTATTTAGCACAGTATTTGGATTACTGATAAAAAAACAAATCTAGAAGCCACTCTTTATAATTGGCTAGTTTCGCAAAATATCAGTACCCCTCTAAAAGTGCATTACTTTCAATAGTAGGATGTGTTCATTATTCCAATGTTACGAAAACAATGCATTAAAATTTCACACTTTGGGTGTTTCAAAACAAAAGAATATTGAAAAAAAGACACATTTAGTTTTTTAAATACACGCCTTTGTTTTATCTTTGTTTTAATGGGTGTGTGTCCATTGAAAGTTTAATGAAAAAAATCACTAGTTTCTCCCATATTAATGTTTCTCTTTGGGGTATTTAGTAGTCAATTTCATACAAAGAAAAGCTTGAGAAAATATATACAGTAAATAAGAGACTTTATGCACGTTAATATAATTACCATTATTCAATTGTTGACGTTTCTTTGTGATTCTTGGTGACTTATACAGCTCTGCATTCTAGACAGTTCCATCTATAATAAATTATAATATAGATTTATCAAATTCTAAATATATTAAATTGTCGTCAATGTACTTTAAATGTGAAGCAACAATATTTAAGTATGTATCAACAATGTTCACGGAATGCAGCCCCCCACAAAATCCGCTAGAGTGAGGCACCCATCAGGCTACCAAACGGGAACCTAATATAACACTTAGAATCAGAGAAGGCCATCTGAAATATTTGTAGTGGAAAATTGTATGTAAAGAACAAACGATGCTTATTTGCATTGTATTAAGCCAATAGAAAGATAACAAATTCAACAAGAAAACAACATTCAAGAGTGATTTCAGGTATATTTTACGGAACTTCAATAAAAGCCTTTATCGGATTTCCGAAGTGAAAATGTGTTAATTTTTCTGTTATTATATTTTTAAATATCGTGCCTTGACACAAAATGTCTTCGTGTAATAAAGGAAATAAATGATGCCAATTTAGACCTATCATTTAGGCATGTAAATAATGTTTAAAAAATATCGTTTCTAATAAAGAATGAATGATTAAAGATTGTAATTAAGATGAATGAACCCATTAGTATTATGTATTCCTATTGTTTAATTTTATTCACAATAAAGCTTATCCCTTGAATCTTAAAAGTCATTTGTTGAAATTATCTGGTAACTTGGCGACAATAATTTCTTAGATGTTTATAAAACTATATTACAAATGCGTTGGCGAGCCAAAATGAAATCAGTATGTAACATAAGCATATAAACATGTAACTGTATGTTACTGTACCATATGCCAGATACAATGCCCCAATATAGACAATGTTGAACATTAAAGCAATTGCACGCTATTTGGGCCGCTAATTGAATGACTCAAATCCTGTTTAATACTGTCAAAAATAAAGTTTAAATATGGACACTGTGTTGTTGACGTACACCTACACGGCCACATAATAGAACACTTTAATAACAAAGAGGTTTATAAATTTGTTCTTATAAATACAGAATATAACCTGACAGTCTTCCACGATTCGGTAAATATTGAGTCGCTTTTATAAAATAAGAATATAAAGTCACGTGCTTACAGTCCATACACCAGAAAAAAGTTATCATGCTGACAAATTTGTAGAATTTGGACAGACGATTGAACATTTGTTTATTGTAATGAAATAATTACCTGTATCAGATTTTCTAGACCAATGTGAAAGTCATCAACTGGCAGACAATCATTTGGTGCCAACAAAACAGCGTTAACTAATTCTGCTGCAGACCTTTTTGAAAATATTCTATTTAAAGAATCAACTGACTTCATTCTATCTTGTGACAATGACATCGATGATGATGTAGATATTGTCATTATAAACACAAGTTTACAGACGTAACTTTCAAATCTTGCCATTCTGGAATTAAATAGAAAAATAATGAAGCTAATCATTTACAAAATGAAGATAGAGGGAGAAGTTTAATATTAACTAATACGAAGGTTCACGACAATTGTATTTTTTATACGTGAGAACATTTGCCAATTTGGTTCAAGTAGCTAAATATATGAAACGATAGAAGGTCAAAAAAGGTTTCGGGCAAAGAGGCGACGACTGAAGATCATTTATATAATAATTGGACTTCCGTTTTTATAATAGTTTTTTTTCATATTTGATTTTAATGTAAAATTGATACCGTATATCATGAAAAGGAATTTTTCTTCTATCTCTCTCATTTTTACTGCAATTCTAGAATTATATTGTATGATAATTTGAGGACCTTTCTGGTGAAAATGAGTTAAATCGTATACTTATAAATGCAAAGTGCGTTAACTGGAGTGCTTGTATTAGTTACCCACACTCCAGAGCATACCCATTGATTGCCTCTTTTTTCTGAGGTTTATTTATTGTAACGGCAGAGAAAGGAGTTAGCGATATAAATATTATATTCAGATGATCATTCATTTGTTTCTGTTTGCTGGGATATCATATTGTGTCATCAGGGAACATGTTTTTATTTTTGCCCATGACACAAAAGAGAAGGAACATTAAAACACTTGACAATCTGATTTATACTCGGGAGGGGGGCGGGTCTGTGCTCCCTCGTACAAACCAGAAAGCCTCTTTTTCGATGGTCTTTCTATTACTTAATTCTGAATATTGTAGTTAGGTTTGTAACGCCCGAGGTCAGCCAAAATTACTTTCCCTACATTGTATTCCGGCGTCATATTACATAAATTGTGTTGGTGCGCCGTGAACCAAACAAAATAAAAAGTTCTGAATATGCGTTATTATATAAAGTAATGTCACCCTACCGAAAGTTCTGTTTCAATGAACAGAGCAGTAAAATTGTGGTAACTTTTATTTGCGTAAAACTGAGAGCCTGCATCTGTCTTTATTGTACACTATTTTTTAATATGTTATGTATATTCTAGTATTGAGATTTCAAATAAATGAAATAATGTAAAACCTAAAGATAAATGACTGTATTTATGAAAGGAAAACGCAAATAATCACCAAGCCATGTATTATTAAGTTTTTTTAGAAAATAATTCGTATTTTATTCTAGTGCAATAGAACAAGAATATAGTCAACGCTGTTAAACCATAATGTGATGTCTTTTATCAAATAATAAAATAAAAACAAAAGTTTGAAAATATAAAAAGAAAAGTAAGAACAAAACTTACATAATTCTCGTGTATCTGAACACTTGAAGATTCTATCTATTCAACAGTCGTTACTGAAGTTATCTTCACTTTTATACATTTCCTATCCAATAAGATTCCAGCTCTCATTATAAGGCAGGCACACCCAATGCACGTGATTAACTTTCGCCATTAACAAGTATATTTTGTACAGAACGTTTTACCACTTTTGGAATTATTTTCACTTGATAGTGTTATTCTATGCAAGAAACGCGTTAAAGGTTCGTGTCTACCATTGACTTTAATTATTTACTTAATGAGTTAATTACGCGTTTCCTTTTCACTTTTTGGTATATATATAGATATTATGTGTAAATATATATAATGTTTCCTGTCTATATATAAACTGTTCATCGCAGCTAAGGCGGCTAACGATATTTATTTCTAGCTTAAATTATACACATTATTAACGCTTAACATTATCATTTAAAGCGACCTTCAGCTTTATTTTGTTGTTAAAAAGACAATTATGTGCTGTTTCAAATTATGTATTTCATTAATTTTATCTTAGCGCCCCTAGAGCTTTTTATTGCACATCAGTGACATTTGTTTCTAAAAAATAGAATTCCGGGAAAAACTTTATTAGCTTTACTAATTTACATAAAGAGAGAGCGGACTGGTAGTTTTGAGGTGTCGAGGGGTTTCCCTTATTGTTTACGAATTTCATCGATGGCATATTTCATTTTCGAATCTAGTTTTAATGAGTTGACATTTAAATGAAAAGATTTATCTAAACAGAAATTAAAACAGACCTTTAGGAAAGCTGAAGGTCGCATTAATATAATAATATAATAAACTCGTCTCTTCTATAAATATATTGTCTTGCATCTGTTATGATTGGTACGGTTTTGCTAAATTCTTTTACTACTAACCAGCCATTAAATCATAAAATGTCAGCCGGTGGTGTTTCCTTATATATTTTGGTTTAATCTTTTATATTTTCAAACAAAATTACAATACATAATTTGCATCCAGGATTGAGTAGAAAGCTTTATTAATATAGCTTTTGTAATTAAAGTTCAGTGTAACTGTATTTAGTTCCAAGAAGATAATAAATAACTAATACGTATCTAGAAGTTTGTAAAGGACCATAAAGAGGAGCTGAGCATGTCAACTGTGTAAGATGCATTGCCTATATCAAATCTAAATAATTTCTCGACATGGGAGGAAGGGAGACAAATAGACAAATAAGAAAAAAGTAAAAAAAAGAGGAGATCAGAATGAAGACTAAGGGGGTCACTGTGATATAATGGAAAGTGTAGGTCCTATTTAATTATGTCTTTTATTAACCAAGTATTACCCAATTTGAAATACAATGATGTGTTTCCTTGTGACAATGGTCTTAAGTTATTAAAGCATATAATAAAGAAATACATGAAAGAAAGACTAAGAGGTAGCAAAAAAGGTGTTACTCTTGCGAAACGAAATGTAAGCGCCCTTACCTGATCCATACCTTAAAAAATTTACTAACAAGTGGCAAAGATTTGCTATTTTGAGCATATAAATATACAAGATAAAACAAATGATCTATTCAATTAGAACTTCAAATTCATATGAATGCATTACATGTGTGAAAGTGTTTACATGCACAATCTAGTACAGCATTGTTACCATAATGTAAAAAAAATCAAAACATATAGGTTGGAAACAGTTATCTCTGACTGCTCTCTCAAGGATTTGAACTTTACCAGAGCACGAACTGGGACATAGAAGGTCCAATAAGATCTTCCTGCGACAACGCGTCCTAGGTGCACTCCTGAACCTCGACCCTCAGTTGGTAGTCGGGAGCCATAAGTACCCACTACCATTCGCAGGTGTCAGAAACAAAAGTTACCGTCATCTTTAGTACTTAGTTAAATAATGATAGTAATAATGATTGAAAAGAAAATAGTAGGGTACACATGTAAAGGGAATTATATCTTTAAATGAACCTTTTCATCTTCTGAATGTACTTCTGAACATGTAAGAAGATAGAGGTATTTGCTTCATATAAGAGGTTAGCATCGCCAAATAGTAGTATAGATAAGTTGTCAGTAGTAATATTTCGTAGATTGTCACAAAGTTCAGCACGTTGTGCATAAAAGTGCGAAAGCTTGAAGAAGTAATGACACGTGTCTTCTATTGCCCCACAGTCTCAAAGGAGACCGTCTGTAATACTTTTGTTTAAAAATAAATGCTCCTTTAGTGATTTACAGTGGGTCCTTAGTTGTGTGTTAGATATTTGGTCAGTTGTCGAACCGATAAAATAGTATTTATCTATTGAGAATTCGAATTTAACTTACTTTTTAAATACTTAAGAGTACCAAGGATGGAGCCCTGTGGAACACCAGAAGAAATATTGATAATATTGGACATGGCTCCAGGAAGCACGAATCTCTGTTTCCTCTCCAACACAGAACCAATCAAGTAATTGATCTGCTATACCAGTCAATTAATACAGTAGACCTCGATATTAATAGACCTCGATACCATACTTGATCAAACGCCTTAGAAATGTCACAGAAAACGGTGTGAATTGATGCGGCAGATATAAAGCTTTATACATTTAAACCTCTTCATCCTATCACAAGTATAAATTTAGGCAAAACTTGATTTTTCTTAAATAAATGTGCCCTAAATGAAACTAGTACGGACTTAACTGTCTTCTTACACGTGATCTATTTTATATACGCTATATCTAAAATATATTAAGTGTCCAGCTTTATTTGTCATCCAATGAAAATGCTGTATTTCTAGTGTTAATGGTCAGAGAGGATTTAAAGTCGATACTACGTATATGTTAGTGCTCATCTGTGCTGTTCTACAGAAATTAGCAACTTCGACGGGAGCCACAGGAGAATGTTTCTAATTTCTGTAGAACAGATGCGGATGAATATTTACATACTTAGTGTCACGCTTCATTTGTCCTTTATTACGTCACGACTATTTTTACGCATGTGGTTCTATGAAGTACTATAAAAAAAGAAGGCGGCTATTAATCGAATTTGATAAAGTATCAAATTTTGTTCTTCTATGAAAATTAACACATAACTAATTATTTTAAGAAATACAGCGTTTTCATTGGGTGGCAAATAAACCTGGACACTTAATCAAATTCCGTTCATAGCCGCTTCTATTTTTCATAGTGCTTGATAGAACCCTGTTCGAACAAAAATGGACAGGTCGTGATTAATAAAGTGAATAGTAATGAAGCCAAATAAAGCTCGACTTAGCTAACTTTTTCGTCGAAGTTTTAAGTTTCTGTAGAACAGCACAAATAAACACTAACATATACGTACAAGTAAACATATAAGAATAAAAGCATAATATAAAGAGCAGGTTTCACAATATGCCCGTCATATCATATATATACGTTTGGACATCTGTTCTTGTCAAACGTGAACTATTCATCATTACATGGTCATCTTAAATAGGATAGTAAGCTTTCGTGCACAGTCACTTGGCATTTTGAATTACTTGCGTAAGTGTTTTGATAGACAAGCTGAGGTGGTCGATTGATACCTAGTGTGTGTAATAATATGAGAAGGTAAAAAATATAACACCATTCTTGAAATCTGCCTGATTACAAGTGTGATATTGTACTCTTCACGACGCGTACTACCATCACATATTACGTACCAAAGTCGTTTTTATCTAGTTCTATTTACAATGTAATATACTGCACGCGTCAATTACGATTCAACATAACATGTTGATTTTATACACCAAGAAAAGGAAACAATATATTAAAAGCGCATTGGTCTACAATTTGGCACCGTTACAGTTGACCTTGACCTAGTTCTTTAGAAATGATATAGTACGATCATTTATATGAAGAATAATAATATTTGTTTAAGACCTTTTTAATGTATGAATGTAGATATGTAATATCGGATTATGTATCACATATTTACAAACAACATCTATGGAACAGAATTAGTGCATTTATTCCATCTTGCTTGATGATATTTGGACTTACATAACGCTTGCTTCCATATTTCTTTATGACAATGGAAACCTTCGTATTGCTGAATACAGTCATGCATTATGATTTCATGTAATCGCAACTTCATGTTTTCCTTTCTGAACCATTAAACTCACATATTTTAATACGCTATATGTTTAAGATAACATTCTTTGCTTGTTCTTGATATAACTAGATGTAAAATGGTAAGTTCCTGAAAGTACAAATGTTCCTTTAATTTGCTATAAATATGCCACTTACATTGTCGACACTATTTCACAATAAATAATTGCTTTTGATCAATACTTGGGCGAATTTGACGTGTCTTTGCATTCATATGCTGCAATATATTCACTTATTACAAATATAATGCAAGACATGATCAGTGCGCATTGACAACGAAGATGACAACGATAGAATTATTATAATCGCATGTTACAGTACGCACTAAGCAGTAAGCATAATGCGAGTTGCAATATTTTGTTTTCATATTATGACAGCAAGTGTCGCTTTTTCGGTACATCCCGTTATTTTCCGAATGGTCCCGCTATTTGGCTCGTGGAGTAAAACAAAGTTATGTCCCCTTTATATAGGGGCGTATACCGAACAGTGTTAGTTGGGGCTGACATGTATGTGGATGATTTTGAGAAAAACAATAGAATATTTTTGGAGATTCGGCCAACATGTGACAAAAATGTAATAGATGTCTCTTAATACTCATCCTACAAGTGGCAAAACACCTCTTATACATTGTTTATACAACTTTTTTGTGCTTGGTACGTATTTATACATGTATATACGCAAAAGAATACCGTTCTATGGTCACCGGAGGTTATGTACGGAAAATTCCGATGATAGGCGAAATGTGGAAAAATTCCTTTGATCTTGATAAGAGAGTTCTCGCCCCTTAAGAGTTCACAGTCGCTAGACATTGTTTATATATTGCTTACATATATTGTAAGATGATCAAACATAATCCACAAAGCATCAGACAGCATAAACACTGAATAATGGAAATAAGCGAAAGCTAATAGTAATCACGCCATGCGAGAGATAAATCTATGGTGGCATATTTCTGCCACCAGATAACCTGATAATTAACTAGTTAATTATCAGGTTAACTAGTTACGTAACTAGTTAACCTCTTAATTAACTAGTTAATTATCAGGTTAACTAGTTACGTAACTATTTAATTTTTTCAATAAAAAAAAGATCATAACGGGAAAAAATGCATGTTAGTGCCTGCAAACTGCCATCCCTTATTGTCAGCTTAATATTAAGAGGTTAACTAGTTACGTAACTAGTTAACCTGATAATTAACTAGTTAATTAATAGGTTAACTAGTTAAATAAATACTTAACTAGTTAACCTCTTAATTAACTAGTTAATTATCAGGTTAACTAGT